AACCACAAAATGAAAATAAATAGGCCTACTCGACTCAACACGATTAGTTAAACGGATTGGGTTAGGGTTGACTAATGCTCGACACGAATCCTAAATGACATAACATGAACACACGTGACATGACACAATTGTCATCCCTACTTTTGTGGAGAGGAAAGGACCTAGATGGGCTTGCATTTGACAACACATGTGCCATTTACCCCAGTTGGACTTGGGCTCAAGCTCGGGTGTGGGTCAGATCCAATCTTATTTTTTTGGATTAAATTTGTTTACGAATTGGGTCATTTGATTGTTAACCTAGTTTTAATTTTTTACTCGTTGTAATTCAAAATTTGCACTAATTTTTTGAATTTTAATTTCCCTCCAGTTTTGAATTTGAATTTTGTGTCTGCTCATGAATGGGAAGAACATGAATGATGTGTTTTGGGTTGCATCTCATCAATGGTGACAGTTCTGAACAGTCAACTCTTCATTTATAATAACCTAGATTCATTATCATTCAAATATACAAAATTAGGATTAACTATAGTCATTACATTCATAATCATCATCATTAGGCAGTGTTCATTTCTAATAGCACAAAACACATTATAGTTCGCTGGGCAAATAGATTGGGGATGCTACTTTTATTTGTGTATAGATCATTGTATCTTTGGAGGCAAATGTCGAGATTTCCATTAACACCTGTGTGGGGGTGAAATATGTTTTAAGGAGATAGTATTAAACACTAGCCTTTGATCTAAAGTTTCAATTAACATTGTTGTTCTACAAGTGGGTCAGTTTTATGTATTTTAGTTTTTGTGTGTTACTATTTTGTTCTTATGTGTTAATGCTTTGGTTCTTAGTTGCACAAACAACTATTTCGAACATTAACAAGCTATAAATTAGAACTTTCAATGAGTAATTCTCCGTATTGTGGAAATCCACCAACAATCTTAAGACATAATTTTTGAATAATTACTTATGGTGCTTCTAATTCAAGTTTTTAGTATTACAAACTATTTTAAATACTGCAATTGCTTTAAAAAATTGAATTTTATAGTCTATAGTAGTTGGCTGATAATTGCAATATTTTGTGGAAAGTTACATATTATGTTTTTGTGTTTATGTTTATTATAATTTGAAATAGAAACAATAACATAAGACAGTTGCAATAATATTAGGCAGTAACAGTAACATAGAATAGTAACATTGAATTATTTTAGTATATTGTTGTATAAAGTGTTACTGTTTTTCTATTTTTAAATATTTTGCAATTTTGTTCATTAGAAATGGCTACAAATGAAATAATGGCTCTATTACTACAAATCTTGTGATGTCTATTATTATACATACTCATGTGTCTCAAGGAAAGAAACCTATAAACTTTAATAGGAATGATTTCAAGAGGTGCCAACAAATGATGTTGTTTTATCTCACTAAGTTGAATCTGGAAAAGTTTCTTCATTAGGATGCTCTCATTTTTCATCAGAATGAAACTAACCACCAGTTTTGTTACGGTTAATGCATGGAAACACAAATTTTATGTGCAATAACTATATTCTCAATAAATTGGATAACACATTATATAATGTGTATAGTCCAATCAAGATGACTAGAGAGTTATGAAAGTCCTTAGATAAAAAGTACAAAATAGGGGATGCCAAAATGAAGAAATTCGTTGTGGACAGATTCTTTGACTACAAAATTGTAGATTCCAAGACTATCATCAATCAATTTTAAGAACTTCAAGTGATCTGCATGAAATTCAAGCCAAAGGGATGATACATAGGGAATCTTTTGAAGTGGCTAAAATTATTGAGAAATTTATTGTAAGGACTTCAATATTTATTTAAAGCACAAATGCAAAGAAATGAAACTTGAAAACTTAATTGTGAGATTGATAATTGAGGAAGATAATCGTGTCTCTAGAAAGTAGTTGGAACTTATTCTATGGAGAAAAAGGCACTAGATTAAGGATTAAGTTGAATTTGATTATTAGTGTACCTACTATTAATAATAATAAGAACACATCTTCGGTTTATGAGTCTTCTACTACAAGACATGGTAGATTAGGACATATTAATTTTGATATTTTTCATAGATTAATGAATTTAGAATTGTAGCCTAAATTCAATATTGATGTAAATCATAAACGCGAGACTTGTGTTTAATCAAAATTAACTAAAGTATTGTTCCATAATATTAAAAAAAGTAATGATCCTCTAAAATTAATTCACAGTGATACATGTGATTTGAAATATGTTCAAAATGGAGGTAGAAAGAAGTACTTTGTTACTTTTATTGATGATTGTATAAACTATTGTCATGTATAATTGCTAAGGAGTAAAGATGGAGAATTAGAAATGTGTATGCATTATAAGAATGAGGTTGACAATCAACTTGACAAAAAGATTAAGGGAATAAGAAGTGATAGAGATGGTGAATATGATGCACCTTTTGATAAGTTTAGTTAAGAACATGAAATTAGTCACCAAACTTCTGTGTTTTATACACCTCAGAAAAATGGGATTCTTAGACATAATAATAGAACATTGAAAGAAATTATGAATGCAATGTTGCTAAGTTCAAGTTTACATCAGAACTTTTGGGAGAAGCTTTACTTTCAGAAAACTATGTACTTAATAAATTACCCCACAAGAAAATAGACAATTAAAAATATTTAGAAGTGTGGGGGTTGTTTGGCTAAGGTAGTGGTTTCTATTCCCAAAAGGATTAAAATAGGACCTGTGATCATTGATTGCACATTCATTGATTATATAATTAATAGTAGTGCACATCGTTTTCCTATGCATAAATATGATATTCATGATATACATGTCAATACCATTATTGAGTCTAGAAATGCATCATTTTTTTTAAAATATATTTTCTTATAATACTGCATGTGATGTGAGATCTCTTAAAAGAACTCATGATACTATGACTAGTAATATAGACTATAATTCTATAGATAAAGAAAGTGATAAGGCAGTTAGACATAACAAGAGGGCAAGAACATCTAAGTCCTATGATCCTGATTTTTTGACATATTTGTTAGAAAACGAATCACAAAGCTTCAAGGAAGCAATGTCCACTCTTGAAGAACCTTTTTGGAAATAAGTTGTAAATAATGAAATTGAATCCATCATGCAAAATCACACCTGGGAGTTGGTAGATCCTCCTACTAGAAGTAAACCATTTTGGTGTAAATGGATTTTCAAAAGGAAAATAAAAGTTGATGGATCAATTGATAAGTATAAGGCTAGACTTGTAGCTAATGGTTACAAACAAAAGGAATGTCTTGATTTTTTGACACATATTCTCTAGTTGATTCCCAAGCATAGAAAGTGTATCGTGTTTGTAACTCGGTTGATTACTGAGGTCATGTCCTCAAGGAAAATGAATGGTTCAAAGGATTATAAACAAAGAAAAGTAAAAACTGAATTTTTGGGAGTTTGGTAAGACCAATTAATTGGTAGGGTTTATCTCACTATGAAAAGTATTTTGACTCAATTTCTATGACTCATTTGAGATTATACTCAAACGCACTCAAATGGAAAATATTGGATGAAAACCAAAATGCAAATAACAAATATGTATTTAAGTTGATTGATTTGATTTTGAAAGAATTACATTTACTTTGATTGCAGTGATTCCAATAATTACCCATGTCAAACTTGACTGTCTATGGATATGTAAGAAGATATACATATCGAATGTGTTTTCAACTTTAATCATTCAAACAACCCAAATAACTCAATCTTTGAAAAATCCTAATTTGATCAAAATCCCCAATCACATATAAGATTCGCTCATATTGATGATACACAAATTGGTATTGCGTAAGATCAACAGTTGAGTATATGTAAGGGTGCAATTAATAAGCAATAAATAGGCAATTAATGGCAAAATAGTAAATAAGAACAAACACGTAGATTTATAGTGGTTCAATCCTAATGATCTACTCCACTCTAGGGAACGGCAGCGGTGGCCGGAGATCTTTATTGATGAATAAAAGTCACCGAGAGAGTGTACTCCGAGGGAATTACAATGCTTTGGGAGAGGGAGATTAAGGAGGTGCAGAGAGGTGTGTGAGATGTAGAGGTGTCTTGAGGTCTCAAGGTCATGCCCTCTATGTGGAGAGGGCTTACATTGTATAGGTTTAGTGAGGCGGTGCGGTGAGGTGGTCACCAATTTTTGGTAAGTACAGTTATGGTAAGATTAGATCTCCATGAGGCGTATCCCAATAATCTTGTCATGTGCTCCTATTCCTTTGGAAGGAGGATCCTGAGTTGGGCCGGACTGAGTTGGAGTGGTAAAGTGAGGAGGACGAAGAGGAGTCAGGGGAGCCCAAACCTTGGGCAGCCCCTAGGCCCTAGGAGGCGCCACATGCTTGGGTGACCCCCTTAAGCGGGGCCCCTTGGGTGTGTCCTTCGGGCGTTGGTGACTTGGACTCCTTTTGGTGCATTAGGCCTTGGGCTCCTTTTTGGGTACTGATGATTTGGGCTCCTCTTAGTTTATTTTGATTGGGGCCTAGCCTAGTTGATTTTGGGCTTGTCATTTGCCCCCCATGCCCCAGCCTCTGACTTTTTGCGAGAGGAAAGGATTGAGGGCATGTGCTTCATCTTCACTTGAGGGATCAAAAGTTTTCTTGCTCCCCACGGCGCTTTTTCATCTTCAGGGACTCTGCTGAGTTTACCGATATCGGACACATTCTTTTTTTTTTTTGTGGCATTGCCTTGTTAGGTATTCATCTATAAATAGTTGCCCTTGGTCTCTCCATCCTCATTCTTCTTTTTCATTTCTTATTTTCTGGAGGCTTCTCTTAGAAGCTATCCCTCCCAGCTTCCCCAAGAATCTATTCAATCAAGCTTCTCCAAGAAGCCTTTCAATAAGCTTCTCCAAGAAGCTACTTCAACAAGGCTTCCTTAAGAAGCCATTCTTCCTCTTCAAGAGGTTACTATTCATCTCCCTTTTCTCTCCTTAAATCTTTCTTTCCCAAAGTTACAAAAAAAACCATGGAAACCAAGAGCTCAAAGAAGCATGGAGTGGATCTTGATGGAGGCAGTGCCCATAAGGAGGCCGTATTGGGTGGCTCCCAAGGGGCTACTCTAGGCGGTGCTCATGGGAAGGGAGCTCAGGCGATGCCAACCCAGGCGGCACCAGGCCAAGTCATGGCCGATGCCCAAGGTGATCTTGGCGTGGGCAACTCTCATACTGCTCCTTTAGGTAGTTCCAGGCGGGGCATGAGTAGGGGCGATGGTGCCTTTGGGACCATTGGAATGACATCAGGCATTAGAAAAAAGACTTTGGTCAACCTTTGCAGTATGGTGGGAAGAAAAAATGGTGTCGGAGAGCTGCAAAGAGGGTCCTTAAAAGAGACAGGCGGCACCTGTCATGAGCTAGGCGGTGCCCACTGTGCACTGGGCGGCGCCCCAATCATCCTAGGAGTGGTTCAAGCCTCCTTTAATGAGGCCAGTGATGGGTATATCGCTCAAGGTGCTGAGTTTCTTCTTCTAGACCATGGTGGTGACTTGGTACCCTGGGTAGTGTCAAGAAGTGGTCAATCAGTGAGTTGGATAAAACGAGCTCTCGAGGTATGCTTCTTGGTATTCATTTGTACTCTGTTGTAGATATGGGTACTTTCTTTAACAATGGCCTAACTTGGCTTTTGGCGGATGTTCATTTAGGCGAGCCGGAGATTGTTGGAGACTCCATGGGAGGCTTGGGTTCAAATGGAGGCAACGGTTCTAAGGTTGCATCTATACTTACCTCCCTTGGCTATGATGAAGATATTGCCTCCATAGTTTCTTTATACCACATTCCACCTTCTGTGTCGTGCTATCGTACCTAGGCCGATAAGCCAGCATGTTGCGACTCTTTTGACAAGATCGTGCTTTATGAGGGCTTATTACAGCCGGGCCTGAGGTTTCTGATACCTGGACCCATATGTTGGGTTCTTGGGCACCTGTCACTAGTCCCAAGAGATTGGCCCCAAATGGGTGGAGAGTGATATTAGCATTTTTTGCATTGTGGCGGTTAGTGCACGATGCTACTGTTCCTCCACCATTTAAGGAATTCTTAGCCACGTACATGCTCTTAGAGAACACCACTCCTTACTAAGGGTGGTACTACTTTTCCCCATGGTCGGGCAAATTCATTACCAGGCTTACATCAAATCTTCATAGTTGGAAGACCAAGTTCTTCTTCGTTGAGGGCGAATGGGCCTCCGAGACTGATCGTGCCATGGTGCCTTTTAGATGGGATACTACACCCAAGGCCAAGCAAGGGTAAGAATTCTGCCTTTAACTTTTGTTCTAGTCATCAGACATTTGTTCTTATAGCACAATTGTCTTCTTGTAGCTTCGTTGAATCTATCCGCGAAGCAGGAAAGTAGGCTTTAGATGGTTCATGACCATTCATTCAAGGAGTTCTCCGGGATCATGTCAGAGTCAGGTCACTTGACTTTTCCAGTAGACTTTCTGTGGACACGGCGTCGCAGGCCCTTTAACTTATATTGATTCTACTAGTGCCTCTATTGATAGATTGATGGTGGAGGCAGTTTGTCCATCTAGGGTGATATCTTCTCCTTTGTCTTCCAAGAGAATGAAGTCTGGTGCCCCCGACACCACTCAGCCTAGGGCCACTGGTCAGGCAGGTTCCATTGAGATAGGGTTAGGTGATGTTCCACACTCTCCTTTGATTAATGTCTTCTCACCCCTTAGAGATGATCCTAGTGCTATTGCGGAGGCTGAGGCCTCAGTGCGATCACTTGCTAGGGTTGAAGGTTTGCCTAGCTACCCTAATTCGAGAGGTGCTCCAATTTCTATGTTGCGAGATGTGAAGCTCGCTAGGGAGAGGCTTTGGGGGTTTGCGACCCATACTGAGGTTGAGGAGGTTGGCTCTTGGGGTCTGGAGGGTGTTGTCAACGCTATCGTGGAGGGCTTCACTTTGGTATGTCCGACACTCTTCTTTAGTTATCATCCTAACTTTCCTTTATATTTTACTTTTGTATGCCTTCAGGTGGCTGCTGCTTTGCCCCTGCATGTTCACGAGCACACTGAAGATCAAGGAGGTAATAAATGGCCAGGCAGCGTAGAGGCGGGCACGTGAGGCTGCTGAAAAGCAGTTAAGGCTTGAGGGGTAGGCACGAGAAGATGTCGCGAAGCTTGCAAGACAAGCATTAGAGGATGTCGCGAAGCAATTAGGGCTCGAGCGGCAGGTGCAAGAGGATGCCGCAGAGCAGTTGAGGCTAGAGGCTGACCTTCGAGTAGCTCTTGAGAGAGCTACTAGGGTAGAGGCTCACTCCATGAAGATGGAGAAGATGAGGGATGTTGCTGAGAGAGCCAAGGCAGACGCCTTTATTGACAGCTATGATGAGCTCAGGAGGAAGGTCTCAACGACATTCCTTGCTTATGATTTCTCTGTCTTTCAGCCTTCTGAGGCTCCCGAGACTGATAAGGATGAGAGCAATGATGGGAGTGGGGGTTGTGAATGTCGTTAGGGGGTGTCTTTGCATTCATGTTTTTTGTTAATAGGTCAAATTCTATCTTTTGTAAAGGTTTCATGAACTTGAACGAAAAACGATTTTTGAAAAAATATTGAGAAATTTTATTTCGTAATTCAAAGTAAATATTTTGAAGAAAATTGACCAAAATAAAAAGTAAATAGTCTAAATGGTGGCCACCAACTTATAACTCACTGCCCTCAGCTACTAGTAATATATTTTTAGATGCTTTGCGTTCCATGGATGGGGCAGGACTTTTCGTTCAATATTTTATATTTTGTAGGTGCTTGACCTTACCACCTCCATGACCGTGTAGGGTCCTTCCCAGTTGGGTCCCAGTTTTCCTTCCCAGGAGACTTTGATGGACAATATGACCTTTTTGAGGACTAGGTCTCCAGGTAAGAAGGAGTGAGGCTTCACTCTCGAGTTGTAGTATTTGGTTATGCGACGCTTATACTCTGTATTTCTAAACATGGCTATCTCTCTCTCCTCCTCTATCAGGTCGCGGTTGATGTAGAGGCCTTCTTCATTACTGGCTGGGTCATGGTGCTAGACCCTAAGGGAGTGTACCCCAATCTAAATGGGTATCACTGCCTCTGTCCCATAGGCTAGGGAAAAAAGGGTCTCACCCGTAGGATTCCTTGGTGTCGTTCGATAGGCCCATGGTACTCCTGGGAGTTCTTCTACCCATCTTCCTTTTGCATTCTGTAGTCTGGCTTTCAAATTGTGGAGTATAGTCCTGATGATGACCTGTGCTTGCCCATTTGCCTATGGATGGGCGGGGCTGGAGTGGGGCTACTTAATTTGGAGGTTTACACAGAAACTGTTGAGGAGTTTGTTGTCGAATTGCTTGTTATTGTCACTCACAATGGCATGAGGTATTCCAAAGCTGTAGACTAGACTCTTCCATATAATGTCCTTTATCTTCTAGTCTGTTATTCTGGCTAAGGCTTTAGCTTCTGCCTATTTAGTAAAGTAGTCGATGGCTATGACTACGAACTTACACTGTCCTCGACTCATAGGAAAGGGACCTAGGATGTTGATCCCCCACATGGAGAAAGGCTATGGGCTCTGGATGATGATGAGCTCTTCAGGTGGCTGTCTGGGCACAGTCGCAAAATGCTGGCACTTGACACATTTCCTGAAAAAGTCTTGGGTGTCTCGGATCATGGTAGGCCAATAATATCCCTGTCTGACTACTTTATGGGCTAATGCATGCCTTCTTGAGTGATTCCCACATACCCCCTCATGGATCTCCCTCATGGTGTAGTTGGCTTCTTAAAGGGTGAGACAATGAAGTAGTGGGAGAGAATGACTTTTTCTTGTAGAGGGTGTTTTGTAGGATGACATACCTGGACGCTCTCATTCTCAATCTCTTGCCTTTCACTAGGTTGTCTAGGAGAGCATCCTCCTCAAGGTAAGCTCGGATGGGGGGTCATCTAATTAGACTCGGAGGAGTACAGTTGACATTGTCCTCCTTTGTCTTGGAGGTGCTAGGCACAAAATGGTGGTTTGTAATTGCAGGGCCCATGAGTATGTTGGCAGACACAAATTTGGCGAGGGCATTTACTATGACATTCTGCTCTCGAGGCACGTGGTGGATTTGGAAACAGTTGAACTTCTTGAGTAAGGCTTGGAGCACCGAGAGGTATTCTTGCATTCTCTCCTCTTTTGCTTCAAAGTCCCCCTTACCTTGTTGACTATGAACTGGGAGTCACTGTAGGCTATTAGGTAAAGGGCCTCCATCTCCAACACCAACTTCAAGCCTAATATGAGGGCCTCATATTTAGCTTGATTGTTTGATGCGGCAAAGTGGAGGGAGAGGGCGTATTTCAATGGAGTGCCGTAAGGGCTTATCAGAACTAGTCCTGCACCACCACCCTTGTTGGTGGAAAACTGATCCACGTAGAGTCTCTAACTTGGTACAGTAGGTGATGGAGAAGGAGCAGACTCTGTGGGCGATGTTGGAATTGGAGAGGTAGGCGATATCAGACTGCTGAGTGACGTCTAGCGAGAGAGAGGAGTCGGATGTGTTGGAGGCTGAGAAGGCAGTGCCCAAGGAAAGGTGGATGGGTCCCCCAGTCAAGGTGGGCGGCACCCCAAGCCAGGAAGGTGGCACCCAGGGCTGCCCAATCTGTGGCTCTTCCTCCTATTCCTTTTCAGGGTCGGCAAGTCCTCTTTGGGTAGCATCTGGTCCAATCTCCTAGTGGATGGAGTCAGCATGTACTAAGCAGGTGGGTACAGGGGTGCCTGGTACTTCCTCATGTGACTCCTATAGAGGTGTGGACTCTGCCATGAAATCTGTGAGTGCTTGTGCTTTGATGGTAGTCTTTTGCTGGTACTACACATCGAATTCGCACAACTCAACGGGCCACTTGAGTAGCCTACCGGAGACATCAGGCTTCCCCAAGATTATTTTGAGTGGTTGATTTGTAACAACCATGATGGCACGACTTTGAAAATAGTCGCATGGACGTCTGGTGGCAGTGACGAGGGCGAGAGCCAACTTTTCAAGTTCTATGTACCTCACATTTGCCCCTCGGTACGCCCTACTTACATAGTGTATGAGCTTCTGGATGCCTCCATGGTAATCCCTAATGAGGACAAAGCTTACGACAGAGGGTGAAGAGGAAAGGTAGAGGTATAGTGCCTCTCCTGGTACTACATAGGAGAGTAGAGGTGGTGTGACGAGGTAGGCCTTAAGCTTCTAGAAGGCCTCCTTTGCATCTAAACCCCACTAGAATGACCTATGGAGGATTTTAAAGAAAGGCAGACATTCATCTATTGATTTAGAGACAAACCTGTTGAGGGCTGCTATTCTTCCGTTAAGGCATTGGACCTCCTTTATTGAGGTAGGGGACTTCATTTCCAAGATGGCTTTGATTTTTTCTGGGTTGGCTTCGATGCCCCATTTGTTGACCATGAAACCTAAAATTTTTCTTGTGCTGACGCCAAAGACGCACTTTTCAGGATACTGCTTCATCCTGTAGGCTGTCAGTACGTCAAAGGTTTCCTAGAGGTGTCACATGGTCCAATGCAGCTATACTCCTTACCAACATGTCGTCTACGTAGACGTCCATCATCTTTCCA